AAAAAAAAAAAAAAAAATTAAAAATGGAACTATCATATGATCCAGAAATTATACTTCTGATTATATCCAAAATAATGAAAGCAGGATGTTGAAGAGATATTTGTACACCCATATTCATAGCAGCGTTATTCACAATACATGAAAGTTGGAAGTGACCCAGATGTTCACTGATAGATGAACTGATAAAATAGTATATACATACAGTGGTATATTGTGTGGCCTTAGAAAGAAAGGAAATTCTAACATATTACAACATGGATGAACTTTCAAGATACTATGTTAAGTGACATAAGCCACCCATTCTATATGATTTCGCTTTTAAGAAGTATCTAGAATAGTCACACTTATAGAAACAAAAAACAGAATGGTGGTTGCCTGGGCTGAGGGTAGAGGGAAGTGAGAAGTTTTTTGTTTTTGTTTTTGCAGTACTAGGGATTGAACATAAGGCCTTCACACTAAGCTATTATCTCCTCCAGCCCTTTTTATTTTTTATTTTGAGACAGGGTCTTGCTAAGTTGCTCAGGCTGGGCTCAAATTTGTGATCCTCCTGTCTCGGCCTCTCAGGAGTGCTGAGATTAGAGACATGCTCCACCACACCCAACTAGGGAGTTGTTATTTAATGAGTATAGAGCTTCACTTTTGCAAGATGAAAATTTTCTGACAATTGGTTAAACAGCAGTATGACTATTTTAAACTTTATGCTTAAAAATGGTTAGGATGGTAAGTTTTGTGTTGGGTGGATTTTACCACAATTAAAAATTGAAGAAGAAAAAAAGCAGCAAGTATTGCAATAATTCTACATTCACCTTCCCTCTGATTGGTGACTATTGTCCTCAGGTTCATAATAGGGCAAAGAGCCCAGTTCTTTTCAGCAATTCTGCTCACCAGTGCTTGGGTAAATACACCAACAGGAAAGGAATGAAACAAAGCAGTTTCCCTGCCCCAGCTTGCATTTCACTGGCACTTCCTCTTACAAAATATTCCCAGGCAAATGCTGGAGGAAGAGTTTAGAAGAAAATAGAGCATTGTGCTTAGCAGAAAAGAGAGCAGATACTGTTTAGCTGTGTTATTTTAGATATGCCATATTCCACTAACAGCTGGCAAGTTCTTTAAAGCACCATTCAAAAGCTGTAATTGCTGAATGGAGCTTGGAGAGAATTCACAGAGATGGAAGTGCATTCCTCCAGATTATTAACATAATCATCTCATTTATATTATAGGTGAATACCTAAGATGTCTCCCAAATTGATGCTTTATGAAACAGGTAGTTAATTACACAGGTAACCCAAAGCCTTCCCAGCAAGCATCTGGCAATCTACAAAAGGCAGGAAAAGAAAGTAAGGATGAGCAGAGAGAAGAAAAAGGAAGCTGAAGCCAAAATCCTAGAAATGGAAATGGGAAGAAGGAAGAAGGAAGGCAGAGGTCCTAAGAAGTTTTGCTAGACATTTTGTTGCTCCAGACTTACCAATTCTTCATGGTTAACTTGATTTATTTGTGGTGTAGCCTTATGGTACAAGAATGAGCTGACCGTAAGAGTGTATGCTTAGGAAGCACAGTATGTCCTCCTCCTTGCTCTCAATGAGGCTAGAGACAGCTTTAGTCCCTGGTTCAGACTTTGGTCCTATCCCACAAAATGTTATGTTTGGCTGTTAGTAGATGCGCCAATACCTGGAAAACATAGGAAACCACATAGACAGCTTCATGACTTCATTTTAGAAATGACTTGACGGCAAGCAGTCATCCTTGCTCAAGGGATCTGTGGGTGGTATCAGGGCTTACCCTCGCTTGTCTTAGTTAGTCCTGCATGAATTAGTCAGCTTGGGTAGTCACTGAAGACGCTCATTGGAGGAGGAACTCAGAATGGCAAATGTCACATTTCAGTGGCTCAGGAGGAAGAATGCCAAGTGAAATGGCATATCAGTAATCTTTTATCTAACTCTGTGGTGAACCCTGAAACAAATGGTTTACAACCACTTCTTGGGTTCGTATGTTAGGCTTTGACAGTCTTGTGGGTCTAAGCCACTTCTTCAGTGTTACTGCCTTGATTCTCATGAGACTGATTTTGCAAGGATTCAAGTAGTGTGTCCTCTTCATTAGCAATAATAAAGTCCCTCAGTTGAGCACCTCTTGTGTGCTAGTTCTATACCCAGCCCCTCCTGTGGAACATTGCAAATATAACTCCTTACCACCTTCTGATAATGTAGTCTTACATGACCCACATTTTATATAAGAGAAGACAAAAGCAGAAAGAGGAAGCAATCTTTCCAAGATCACACAGCTTCCAGGCTGAATTGTAACCCTTACCATCTGGACAATGGTAATGCTCTTAACTATTCCTATTCCTGCCTCTTTACTTGCTTCTAATTCTTTGGGCATATTGAGATTTGGAAACATAGATGTGCCATAAGGAGAACATGTTGGCTTTGTTTACTACCCACCTTCCTGCTGTAAAATAATCCCCAAGGATAATGCTCTGACTTTTCTGCTCTTTCTGATGATCTATATATTTTAAAACAAAATGATAGATTTCAAGTGTATTCACATGGCCTGGATTTACTTCATCCTTATTTAGCCAATCTCACTTGAAGAGGGCTGTACTTCAGTGTGGATGATTCTTACTATATGGATAATATCATCTCTTCAGGGGGAATAAAATGAGTCAGAATGCCCAGAAAGCTGTAAAAAAAAATTTTTTTTAATGATGATATTGCTTGAAATTCATCTCTTTCCTTGCTTCTCATGAATTCTTCTACCAAACATGTACTTACTATACCAGGATACATTGAAATTTCTCTTGAGATCTGATCCAAAACCTGTGCCATTATTATGGGATGGATGGGATTTCCTCCACAGTTGATCCTGTAACAGATGAACCAAGAGATATTGCCATTCTATGGTTTAATAAATCACAGTGTTAGTGGTGTTAGGTGGTCCTTGAATATGAAAAATGTTTCCAGAATTACCTGGAAAAATATGTCTTTAACTTGTGAAGCTTGTATGTGTGATTTTTAGTTTTGCAAATGGGCTAACAAGCCCTGATAATAGGAACATCTGTACAACTCAAAGTGTACAAAAATGTAAACAGCCAAACTAGAGGAGGTGGTTTGGCCTTTTCCTCATGAGCAGATTAGTTGTGCCTAAGGATGTGATCTGCTTACTTGGAGCAAGCTTCAGAGCCATTTTTCAGGCCGAGTGATACAGGATGAAAGGGAAATAGCCTGACAGATGGAAAAGGGCTGTTCCAGGTGTATCAGGGATGGGCTTTTGTATATTTTTGGAAGCAGAAGACTAATGAGCAGAGAAGAAGATAAAGACAAGTGTCACCTGCCAAACTCAGAGGGAGGGACTCGATTCACAGATGAGCCAGAAAAGCTGTTCCAGAAAAAGCGCTTTTGGGGGAGTGACAGCAGAGAAGAGGCATGAAACCCGTTAGAAAGAGGGATTCTTTACTGCGGAATGAATAAGGACATTAGAAACGTTGCTAAGGAGAAATTGTCTACTATCAGCTACATAACAAGGCTGTACATGATGTTTGATCCTGTGTGAATGGTCACATGAAAGAGTGGAGGGTTGCTCAGTATTTATACGTCATTTAATACCCTTATGCTTCTAGAACTGATTTGAGGAGGATATAGATTGTTCTATGATAGAATTCTAATTGGGTGATGGATAGTTCACAAACATTAAGATAGTAGAGAAGAGAAATGAAGTCAGGCTGGAAAATGGGAATATGTCCAAAATAGCGAAAATGTCTATGCTGGATTCTACTCTAAGAAGGCCTTAAGCCTCCGCAATCTTTATATTGACTTCTAGTGTTTGATTTTAAAACAGTAAATTGATCTTTATCTCAAATGGAGTTTCTTTCTTTACATGGCTATAAAATATTTTTGTAGCTGGAAAGACAGAGGTCAGGACAGTGAACTCGAGTGGAACTTTAGTCAGTAAACACATCCCAGGCCCAGACTCAGGTGACTTACAGTTGTCCAAGGGTAGATATAACCATCTATGTTAAGGGCTGGAAGCACATAGAAGTCCAGGTTCTTAAGAAACACACTTATCCTTGAGTCATCTTTGTAGTTTTGGAGAACCTGGAAATTAAAGAGAGAAACATGTAGAATGATTCTAGGAAGAAATCTTTCCTATATTTTCTATGATTTCAATTTCATTGTAAGAGCTGACTGTGTGCCACATCTGCACCCTCCCGTTCCCACCCGCCCCACCTTAGTTTTCTTATTCTTTATAGCAGTAGTTCTAAAACTTCAGTGTGCATCAGAGTCATCTGAAGGACCTGCTAAAATACAGATTCTCCAGTTTTACCATCCTTTTCCACCTCCCACTTCCCCTGTGAGCTTCTAAATCACTGTGTTTGGGATGGAGCCAATAGTTCGCTTTTCTAGCAGGTTCCCAGCTAATGCTGATTCTGTTGGTCTAGGAACAACATTCTGAGAGCTGCTCTTTGTGGGTCATTTTTTAATATTTGGGTTTCTGAAAAGACTGATGAAGAAAGTATCTTACATTATTTTTAAAGGTTTCTTATTCCCTAAAGAGAGTGGAATATGTAATATGCAAAAATTTCCTGTGCTAAGCATTTCTATATGCCGAGTCTCTTAGTCCACACAGCAGACCTGTGAAGCAGTCATTTCATACACTTTTTACAGATGAAAATCTGAGGCTCCCAGTGTTAGAAAATTCACCCAGTGTTAGGAAATGAGAAAGAGGCAAACCCAGGGTCAAACTCATCTCTGATTTCCAAGATGTACTTTCTTCTACATTTTGATATGTTTATCCTCTAAAAATAGTGATTTTGAATGCACTAGAAAGATGTGAGGATAAAAACTCAGTTTTCAGAAAGCTCCTCATTAATTCCATTTCACCTTAGGTGAAGGACTAATTCAGTAAAGAGATTCACTGTTAACATGTGAAAGAAGCATGGATTCTAAGTAGCCCAGAAGTGACAGGTATTTAATGTACCGGCTTACCACTGTCCAGAAACTAAAGGCACTTACTTCTTTCACAAACCACTGGCAAAAAGCAGGGGCAATCCATTCCCTGGCATGGATTCTGCAGTCTACCCCAATGATCTTTTGGGGGCTACTAGATGGTTGGCTGATCTGGAAGGGGATCCATGCTCCGTTACCAAACAATCACTTATTATTGTAAACCCCCATGTGAAATTACCAGGTTTTTCATTCTCCTAGAGGTCTCTTTCTTACTCCATTCTGTGGTGTCAAGAAAGTGGTAAGGCTGCTGGTGGAGACAGCCACTTGTCACCCTGACCTCTGTTACTTTTATTCTTTGCCCCTTGCCTTTGCAGTTATTCTCAGACTGTGCACTGATTCCCTATGACACTGACCCAAAGAATGGTCTTTGTTATATTTTAAGTTATTCTCTAACTCCAGATAAAGGCACAAAACCCCAAACCATAAGCCGAAATGTCAAATTTGTATAAACCTTATAAAACCTTGTCACAGAGAGTTCACTCAGCGTGGCAAAGTGCACAAGAGATGATGTTCAATAATCAAAGGTATTTAAAAATGGATCTGAATGTTCACTTCAACTTCATGAAACTGTGAATAGATTAAGATGAATAATCTCCTGCCACACTGATTAGATTCCCCTTCTCAGAGGGACTCCTCTGTACACAACCAACCCACTCTTCTTTCTTGTCTTTCCATTTGTTATTGTTGGACATCAGTTCAGCCTCACTCCAGCAAGAAAGATGCCCTCCTGAACCCTGCTCCACTGCTGGTGGGAGTGTAGACTGCTGCAACCACTGTGGAAATCAGTATGGAGATACCTCAAAGAACTAGGACTGGAAGTCCCATTTGACCCCGCTATTCCACTGC